GCTCTCCGCCGTTCAAAAATTTGAACCGATCGTTGTAAGTATCTAGAAATCGCTCAAAATAATTTTTAGAAATTTTTCCGGGAATTTTCCGACACCGTGGCACTGTTCACGCGCCGCACGCGCCGCCGCAGGGAGAGTGAGCTGCTGGAAAACCGGTTTGACCAGTTTTGAACCGGTTTGACCGGTTCGAACCGGTTTGACCGGTCTGAACCGGTTTGACCGGTCTGACCCGACCCGACTGTTGACCCGACCCGACCCGACCGTTGACCCAACCCGACCCGACCGTTGACCGTTGACCGTTGACTTTCTTTGACCAAAACTTAAAATGGCTTTGACCGAGCATTAAACGACCGTTAATCTTTTCCGAGTATACCTATCCTGATAGTTTTCGACGTGCCGAATCCGTTTCCGTGGTCCGTTTTGTCAAATTCGAATCCGAAGGTCTCCAAATCTACGGTCAAAGTGGTTGACTTTGACTTTGACCAAGAATTTGAATTTTCGAAAAGTCATACTTTATGTTTTTCGACTCCCTGATTCTGATTCCGCAATCCGTTTGGCCAAATTCAGACTCGAAATACCTCAAATTGATAGTCAAACCCAAAAAATGCGTATATACTTAAGAAGTTTAGCTTTGAACAATTAAATAGGATTTGAGACTGATAAATATTATTGTTTGAAGGTACAAGAGACTCTCCGGATCGTTCGACAGCTCGACCCAGCTCTTCTAGATCAGTTAAACCACGTGTGCCAGTATTCACCCGTTCGAAAACTGTAGCAGAGCGTGGTGAAACCAGCAATCAGTAGATTTGTTATTTGAATCTATTGTCGAGGTGTGTTCCCTGCTTATTATTGAACTGTTTTATTGGTTTTAATATGTGGTACACCGAATTCATTGGCTATTGTTTTATGGATGCACCAATATAATGTGACAATTTATGGAATATGGCTGCTATCTAATTTTTGTTTTGAAATGGTATATGATTACCATGTTTTTGGATTTATGGAATTTATGTCACGGTGCAATTGAATTTTGGAATTGAAATACGATGGAATACCTCTGATCAAGCTAACTGGGCCTAATGTGACTCTTGAGGGCCCCAAGATGTTTCATTAGGTCGGCTTTCCTTTGCTGTGTGCTTAGGGTAAGCTATATGGACTTATTGACTTGGGCTTAAGGATACAAGCTTCAGAGCCTATCCTTAAGTCGGCTTTCTTTTTGCTATGTGCATAAAGTAAGCTATATGGAAAATAATTTTGGCAACTACTGAGGGTGTACCAGAAAAGGGTTTAAACTATGATTTTCAAAAAGTTAAACTCTTTTACGAATTTGTGAGATTACTGGACTATGATTTGTACCTATTGTGATTTTATGGAAATGTTGGGACACACTGAGCCTAGCTCACCTTTTTAAAATGTTTTCCCCCTTTCAGATACTGTTGGTTAGATACCTTGGTACGAGCACTTGGAGGATCAACATATCTCTTGAAGTAAATCAAATTGTAATGTTTTTATCTGGCAAGTTGACTTTATTTTGGTGACATGGACCTTATTTTAAAATATCGGATTTTATAATGATAACTCTTTTGCTACTACTGCTCGGTTTATTGTGATTTTGAATTTGAAGACATGTTTTAAATTAAATTATTATTTATTTGTACTATATTTACGAGTTGGATTTTGATAGTATAAATTGTTTATAATTTCATGTTATTTATAATGTGATTTTATATTGATGAAATAATGGTTGCGAAAAATGTCTTTAATAATTATAATGTGATCCACTAGACTTAGTCGAAACGCATAGGCCGGGTCTAGGGGGTTACAGATAGGGTTATTGGTACTAGGGTGAAATTATTCAAAGAGTCATTTTTGTATCAGTACCCATTAGAGATATCGATACCCTTATGAGTAGTATTGATACCTATGTGGGGTATCACTACTAGGGGTAATTAGGTAAACTTAAAACCAAATTTTGGTATTGATACTCGGGGAAAGTATCAAGATCTTAAGGTCAAAATTGATACCCAAGGTTAGGTGTCAATATTAAACCTTGTTTTTATGAAAGAGTCGAGTAAGGAATCTAGAAACCTTGATTAAGTAAGGAGTCTAGAAACCTTGTAATCAAATAATAATAAGCTTAAAAATGAGAACTTGATTAATTTGTTAATAAACATAAGAACATTATAAGGTAAGATTCTATAAGACTTATAAATTTGTTTAACACTCGATAAATAATGAGGACACCTGAGTTACTTGTGTATGATGATTGTCTTATTTGTTTGAGGAATATCTGGACATCTCAATAGTCGTGTTGTGGCACTTGAAATGATATTTGAATATTGCTTTGATGCTGAAGTGACCCATAATTATTCGTATACTATAGAGGAGTAGGCTAGCTGGAAGTATGATCCTGATATTGTGTGACCCAAATCTCATCGAGGTACTTAGCAAAATGGGCCAATATGATGTACGTTGTTGATGTTGGCGTGACCCAAGTCTCACTCAAAGTACCTATGCAGTGGGAGGGGTTTGAATCTCATGATGCTATATAATCCCATACCACATCATGATACTCACTTATGTATTACAATTATCATGCATCAATGATTGATTCTTGATTGTAATTGTTGGCATGCTCATATGATGAATGCAATAAGTATAATAAAGTTATTTGTGTCACTAAACTTTTTAGTTTAGCATTCAGGATATGTTTTTGCCCGCATATTCTTAGGTGGAGATCGAGGAGTATATCACCAAGTTTGAGATTCCAGTCTATCGAGCTATTAGAGTATATCTTGGATATTGTTAGAGGGCATGTATTATTTAATAATATTATGTATATTTGATTTGTAACTCTATTTTATTAAACATTGTATTTGTATTCACATTATATTGTTGAGAGCTTCTCATTGTGTAAACTTATTTATTACTATTATTATGACTTATAATAATTGTGTTTATCAGATTTGGGTATTTTTTTTCAAAAAATGATTAGTCACTTTGGTGATTTCGTATACACTCAAACCCTTTAGATTTAGGGTGAATCATATTATAGTGTTACATTTAGTGGCATTATAACATTAGGTTCAGTCTTTCTTAAGACCCAAGGTAAGTGTCAATAAGTGATAATAAGTACATGCCCCTAGAGTGTCAATAGTACTTTCTAAGTTTGGAATGGCAATAGTGACTCATTTTCTTCTTTGAAATTGTAAAGATTATGGAAGACGATTCTGCATGTAGCCATGAGTGTTGCGATGAGAGCCATGCCTCTCACGTCAATGATATTGGTGATAACTTTGTTATATATACTACGAACACAGATATTTCAGGAGATGCGGGAGTCAATGAGGTGACTTTTGTAATCCCTTGAATTTTAACTCCTTTATAACTACCAACTATGAAGCGTAATGACTCAATCATAGGAAATTTATCTCATACTCAGATTAATTTGTCTCTAAAAACCAACTATAAAAACTACATCATTAGATCTTCCATGTGCATCTTCTTAATGTACTTCTTAAACTCAACCGAGAAGTACTCATATATAGTTTGCTTAGGTTGTATGGTAATCTCCTCAATAGTGTAGTGGTGTACTCAAGATTAATCTTAGGAGTAAGGTGAAGTATGAGTAAAATAATCTTCACATTGAGCTTTATAAACTTAGTGTTATACATCTATTTTATTATTCTTCATGCATTTTATAAACATAAGTATGAGTAAAATCATGTTAGCATGCATTTCAACCAAAAAGGTTTTTTTTCTGATTACATAAGCATATATGGAAATAGTTTTAGACTTATCATAAGTTTATTTCCACATATTAATATACACAACCATTCGATAAGGAACTAACACACAACTTGATCTATTCACTTAAGAAGTACATAATACCATTAAGTTGTGCACATGTTCTATTACATCAATATCATATATTTGAATAATCTCGTATCAGTCAGATTGAATGTCTCATATATACTTTAGGTGTTCCTATTATTATTTAGAATGCCATTAAGATCGCACATATAGGCATTACTCCTAAGGCAACATATAATAGCATCACAATTATAGTTTACAATCACATCATTACCATTAACCGACATATTAAACATAAATCTTTCATCATAAGTTTTTCATATATTTATTCTTGGTTCGAAGCTTTCATTCATAGCTTAGATTCATTATGTGTATGGGTATTTTAGTCATTTTAATTCTTATATAGTAATTAACAAGAATTTAGAGTTTTATGGAACGATATCTCTACTAGGGGCATCAGAACTCTACCTAAGGTATCAATGCTCATATCTGAGTATCAATATTGATCTAACATATTAGAATCTCATAAACCTTTTTAATATTGATACCAACCAAGTTGGTATTAATATCGTTTGAGCACTATTGATATCACATGAACGGGTTATTGATACCAGATGGAAAATATTGATACCTGATAAATAATTATCAATGATATCCTTTGAAAAAGCCTAGATTTTAAGGTTGTTCTTATGGTATCTATATTATAAGAATAATATCCATACTAAAATTTAGAAAATCAAAAAATAAATAAAAGAATAACTCCAAACCTACTCCAAACATCCTTATTTAGCCTTTATATGACTCATTATTATTATATGATAATATTTAAACTTTTAGGTATGTTTTGGATGTATTAAAAACACCAAATAACATTACAAGCATTTAAAATCATGTTAAGCACCCAAACATATAAATATTCAACATACGAAACATCACATTTATGAATTTTAGGAAGCATTTTAGAATTAAATGTGTACTACCTTGATACATAAAAACAAAGAAAGCTCAATTATTAGCTTTCTACCACCCTTTTTCCCCTTGAAATTATGGATTTACCAACCTCTTTAATTAGACAAGTACGAAAAAAGACTCATGCATCAAACAAATGATTAAAAAAATTAAAATAATTATTTATAATGCAAAAAAGAAACTGAAATAACATAAAATACCTCAAAACTCATAAACCTTCCATAAATCCTCCAACTAACTTTGCATTATCTTTCAAAAAGACGATGAGTTTTTTTTTTTTGAATCTATATAAATGAAGATAATGATTCTTACCTTCTCGAATCTTTGATGATTGATTTGGATGATTTTTTTTATTTATTTTAATTATAAAAAATTAGGGTTTGAAATGAGAGAAGATTAGGGAAGAAGTTGAAGCAAAAAGATGGATGAAGGGAGTTAGCTTATGCAGTAGCTTTTTTGTCTCCTCCTCCCACAACAGTACAAATCCCATTTAAAGAGGATTAACATTTTTTCAACAATGATCTAATTACTTGTTTGTTCCTTCCTCTTTTATCCTCAATTAAAAAAAAAGACACACACACACATACACAAAGCCCATATTTACTCCACAAATTCAATTATATTGATTAATTGATTCATTTATTCTCGGATCAATGTACGGACATTAACTTAAAATTTTGAATTATTATATAAAATATTATTAATATATTAAATAATATTTTAATATGTAATTAATCTTAAAAAATTGTCTTATTTGAATTATATATATATATGGATAAGATCATGTTACACAATGTAAAACTCTTTTAGTTTTACACAAATTTAGGATGGTTGGATGAGTGAAAATAGATGGTTACGATTAACAGTAGGAAATGAGAAGATATTCACTAGAAAAAAAATGAGTTAATTTCAGCAATTTATTTTCACTCATCTAAATATCATAAATTTGTATAAAATTAAAAGAATTTTATATTATGTCAGTAGATCCTAACTCATATATATATATATATATATATATATATATAATTTGTGATCCAATTTTTATTTCATATCTTATATTATTTATAAGATTAAGTTAACAAAAGTTATAAATTTTAATGATAAATATGTCCAAAAACTAACATTCTTATGAGGATGTTATATTAAATAAAAAAATATAAGGTAATGCCATTATTCTTATATTCTTAAATAATATCTACTATTAATAATTTTATATTATCGTTATTAAATTAAACAATGATAATCTCATTTTGAAGTCTCACATTACTATCGATAATCAAACGCACCTTTAAAAATCTCAAATGACTTTGAACCAAGTGCCCCTATATATACGTACCTCTTTATTTGTGGATTTTATCCTAAAATAAAAAATAAAAAAGTAAATATAAATTGTGTAATTTTTTATTTAGTAATAAATATAAACATAAATACATTTTTTTAACACCAGGGAAAAGAAATATTTTCTTGAAATAATAAAAGATTAAAAAAAGTTTGATTTACCAACGAATTAATTCAAATGATAAGTAAATTGATATCAATTAAATAGATTTTAAATTTGAGTTTTATGTAAAAAAATTTCCGTTGAGAGATTCACCTATTAAAATTATGTGTGATCAAGTTGGTCCGATAAAATCAGAGGAAAAAAGGGGTTGGGTTTGGTTGGGCCTTGCCATTAGGGGCTGAGGGAGGGCATTGAAAGGTCAAATCCTATTAACTATGGATTTCACTGGAAAAGCAATCTCTACCAATTTACAAAAGTAGGTAAAAGTGTAAAGTAAAGCTGTAAAAAGGTTGTTTTCTTTTTGTTTGTAGGTCAGATAAAGTGTCTGTATACTTTTCCTCTCTTTTATATAAAATAAAATTTACCCACTAATAAATTCTATTTTCTCTTTTTTTATCTTTATAAAAATATATTTCACATGATGTAGTACTATAATAACATTTTTAATTAAGTTTGATGTAATGCATTATTTGCAAAATTATTTAAAAAATTAAAGATATATATAAGAACGTGGGTAAATTAATATATGATCACTCACTTGTTAGTTTTTATTTTGGTAATTCAACTGTTGTTTTTTAAGCTTAATGAAAAAATAATTGTCCAAATTATAGGTGATTTTCCTCAAAAATTACATTTTCGTTATATATTTACCTGTCAGACACTTTTTTAGATATATTTCTCGATCTAACACCCTTTGCAGAAAGGTGCGGCCTTATGCCATGTAGGGTAAGGTGCGGTGCATAGGTCGCGCCTTTCTGCCAATTGACACGCGTCAGAATGGCGTGGTGCATGGGCCGCGCCTTCGGTTTTAATTCGGCCCCAATCGAACGTTCACACCCCCATCTTACCCTATAAATACCCCATCTCAACTATTTTCACCACACCAAATCATCTCAAATCCTCTCAAATTCTCTCACTGCTCGTTCAAGTTTTATTTATAAGGTATATTTTATTCTATTTAATATTTTGTTAGTATTTTATTTAATTATTTAAATTTTTTAGTATTTTATTTAATTATTTTATTTTTTTGCAGTTATAAAATGGAAGGCAGTCTGCTTCGTTTGGATGGAAATCATATATCGAGATATTTTGTTGATACAATAACATTTTAAATTTAAATTTAATTTAAATTATTAGTAATAATTTATTTATTTATTTTTTTATTATTAGTTTATAAATTAATTTTTGTAATTATTAATAATTTTAGGAGAGCGACCATATATTAGATCATTTTATTCGCAACCTTAAGTTAGCGATACCAATCCGTGTCTGTCCGTATTTAGTCGAGGCTTGATTCGGTTACATAGCTAGATATGAAGGTCATTGTAGGATATAACCAAACCTGATTTTTGCATTAGTCGAGCAGTGGAGACCGAAAACACACACATTACATCTTCCGTGCAGAGAGTGCAGGATTACGCTGGAGGATGTTTCCATGCAGTTGGGGCTTTCGGTGGATGGAGATGTGCTTTTAGGGATGGCGCACGGTAATTATAATTCTTTGTGCCAGGAATATCTAGGAGGTGTCCCATGAAATTTCAACAGTAGTTGAATTCCGTTAAATTGGTTGGATGCAAATTTCCAGAATTTGAGTGAGGACGCCTCAGAGAATCAAGTTAAAAAGTATGCACGGGCATGCATACTACAACTGATAGGAGGGTTGCTGATGTCGGACAAATCGCGCAACCAAGTTCATTGTATGTGGTTGCGGTATCTTAGCGATTTTTATCTGGCTGGATCATTGATTTGGGGCTCGGCAGTTTTGGCATTCCTGTATAGGGAGATGTGTCGAGCTAATGACTACAGGAAAAATACTATTGGTGGATGTTTCATTCTGCTGCAATCTTGGGCATGGTATCGCTTGCCCTTTTTATGTCTTGTTATGAAGAGCTAGTTCGTATTTTCGCTACTATTGAGGTAATTACAAAACTGATTTCGTATATTAATCATTTTATCTAGTGTATACTAAAAATTATTTCCTTGAATATGTGGTCTATTGACAGGAAAAATCATTGGGATCTACCTAATGAATTAGAAATAATCAGGCTATACTAATTGATCAGAAGGCTGGCAAAGAGATATGTATTTTAATGTTTGAAAATATAATTTATATTATAGTTATATAATTAGATTATTATTTTGATAAGAATTATATATATTTGTTTTAGTTTGAATGAGCTCTTTATTGTAATGATGATTTGAGGATCTACATCCCACCTGAGTTAAGGGGCCTATAAAATGTTTGGATGACTGTGGTCCCTCTGATCTGTTATGATGTTGTCGAGTGGCACCCCACTAATCGCGTGCTCCAGCAATTTCATTTTGTACAATCAATTCCAGAAGCACCTCAAAATATCGACCAATAACATAACACAAATCGACGCGGTAAGACAGATATAGATTGGTTGGTGAAGCATTATGAGTGGGTCATGATATGAGAGGATCGACATTGGCGTATTCCCCATAGAGAACCCATTTATGTTAACCATTTGATAGTTGTAGATGGTTATTATGATTGGTTCAACAGTAACAAGAAACTTTTCCTGCTTTTTGAGGATGCACGAGGACGGAGCATTCATCGACGTCGACAGAGACGTACACTGTTACAACCCCATCGTCCCCCGACTCGTAGACGGAGAGCAAGTGCTTCCGGTTCATCATCAGCTACACCACCGAAACCTTCACAGCAACCACCGTCTGTAATGACGTGTACCCCACAACCATATCAGATACCACCACATCATTTCCCATTCCAGACGTCGCCGCCACTGCCTTTCCCATACCAGATGCCACCGCCGCCACCGTCACAGAGTTATATGACCCATCCTGGAGGATATTATGGTTTTATGTTTGCATTTTCAACTTGGGGTTCATATTCTGGTTATTTGGTGGGTACAGCCTCACCACCGATGGTCGTCGCACTGACACCTCCTATACAGTTTTCTCACTCATCGATGTATGTGTTTTCTAGTTTTCCCAGTTTTCTATAAGCAGTGGGATAGTCAGTCATACACCTCCAGGGTCCTTATTCTATGAAGGCGCTACATCCTCATCAGTTCCTCATCAACAAAATGTATCTGCTCCTGATCACAACGACGACGACGACGATGATGATCATGACAGTGAGGAATCAGAACCAGTTATACGAAGAAATCCTCCTCAAGACAGATAGCCACGGCCCTACGGAATACATTCGCACCGCAAACATCAATAGTTTTTGATATTTTATTATATTTGTATTTACTTGTTTGTTGAACTTTCTTTATTGTAATTTTTTTATTTACCATTTAATACTTAATTTATTTTGTTAATATTGTTTATTACTTAATTCAAGCGAATGATGATGATCATTTAGTGTTTTTTTAATTGTTTTTACAATAATAATAGTAAATTTATATATAAAAAATAATTGTCTTTTAAAAGTTTATTGTATTTAAAATTATATTCAAAAACCAAATTGATATTAGTTTGATAAAATTTAATAATTGTGTTCGATAACTTTCTTAAGTTTGTCACTTATTATCTCTTTTATTTTAATCACATATAACATCAACGTCGAATCCCGTTGTACCAATAAAAATGTGTCATATCTTTGAATGGTTATTCTTTATCAATGTTGATGGATAATTTGCGCTTTGAATGGTTTTTCTTTATCATTTTCTTGTATTGTTTTTTTAATTAATCAGTGGTTATCAAATGACATTAACTTTAAATAAATGTGAATTAA